TGCGGACCGATAACATCTCTCCACACCGATGCATCACGCCCAACGCGCGCGTTTAAGTGACCCAGCAGAAATAGTCCGCCGATCCTCGGCACAGACCGTATCACGGAGGATAACTGTGTGGAATTGATCACGAGTGTCATCAGGATAACACACACACACACACACACACACACACACGCACATACATATGCCAATGCAATGAGACTTGTAAGACCTCAGGGCAAAACTGCGTGCTGTCCCGAAGAGAGACTGCGAAGCCTGGTGATCTCATCATGTATCGGAGCTAGAAACTGCCGCTGCTCTTGGTAATCAACGGAAGTTAATCCGTCTGATAGAGGAAATGAGTAACAAGGGACCTGGTGTTAACGAGACCATGAGCGACAGTGGACAGCCGATCCCCAGGTTGTCAGAACGCTTGGAGCGATGGACCGAACACACTGAGAAGAAGTCTAATTACTCAGAGTTGTCAGCTTCCCTATCGGTCATGGGCCATCCCCTGGGATCCGCCCTCATGCACACAAGACGATGGTAAGATGACACGGCTAAATTGAACAAAGCCGTCGAAGCAGATGGACTTCATCCAGCGCTCTTCAAATCCGGGTGACCTGGTCGCGTAGATGTTGTGCACAATTTACTTTTGAAGCTGTGGGAGCAGGGGACTGCCCGAAGGGATTGGAGCCGTTTCGTCATAGTCTCAATTTTCGGAGAGTTTTCCGTTCGGAATGTGGCAGTCGTAGACAAGTAGTCGGATCTCAATCGCTTCAAAGATACTGGTCTCTGTCGTTTTTCATATATTTATTGGCACCCGCAAAAGCCGGATTCGTGAAGAGGAAGCGGGGTTTCGTTGAGGTCGGGGATGTACTGATTACATCTTCATATTACGTCAATTGTTGGAGCACATCCATATTTATCGGCGACCCACTGTAGTCGTGTTCCTCTGCATCAAAGGTGCCTTCGATTCGGTCGATCGATGTGTCCTCTGAGGCTGTCTAATCAAGAAAGGCGTGCCTAAAAATACTTAAACATTATCGAAGCGATTTAGGCGCGTAGTTATGGCAGGGTGAAGGTTTACAGCAGTTTGGCACGCTCATCAATATCTCCAGCGGCGTGAGACAAGGATGCCCGCTGTCACCTTACCTCTTTAACTTCACCATCGCCGAACTCATGGAAATGATGTTTGCCAGGCAAGACCAAAGGTGCGAAAATGCTCCCAGGTGAGCGACTTATTGATTTGGAGTATGCCGACGACATTGCCCTTATCCGTGATAGCTCCCAGACATACAAGTAGCATTTGGCAGATTAGCATTGTCTGTCAGTCGTTTCGGGTTATGCGTTGCAACGTCGAAATACAAAGTCCTTCTTCAAGATTTGCAGGAACCCACCCCTGTGCTGCTAATTGATGATCATCTGCTGGAAGCAGTCGAAAAATTCTAGTAACGGCAGTTATATTAGTGTCAGTGGAAAGAAAGATGAGATCATGAACCACAGAGCAAAACTTCTACGCGTCTCTGCCAATCTCCGCCACCTGTGGCGCCGGCACGATATCATTCTCGCCCTGAAAAGCAGAGCTTACAATGCAGCCGTCCGTTCAACTCCCCTGTATGATTGTGAAACCTGGTCTATCAGATCGACAGAACCAAAGTGGTTTGCTGCATTCGACCATCGCTACCTTCGCAGCCGCCCGGCGGCCGAGTGGTCTGCACGTTTGGTTTGCAACCATAAGATCGCCAGTTCGAATCCGCGTAGGCGTGGGCGTCCTCGCGGTATACTCAGCCCGCGCACGACTGGTGGTGGTCGCGCGGCAGCGAAGCACCGTAACGGCGTACAGCTGACACATTATTATTTATTATCATTTTATTACCTTCGCAACTTAGCTCATACCTGGTGGAAACACCGCGAGAGTAATGAGTGTGTTCAGTGTCATGTACTTGGTGTAGGAAGAGCTTGTGAACGGCTCAATACCGTTATTTTACGCAACAGGCTCCGATGGGTGGTCCACGTATGTCAGCACACAAACTCCCGTGACGAGCGTTGTTTGCGCGCCGGGAGTGTGGATGGAGAAAGAGGAATGGAGTCTAGGCAATGACTTGGTCAAGAGGAAGGAAATCTTTTCACTTCGAAGCAGGCTGGTGTCACTTGACTTCCAGGCTGGGGTCCGAAGGAAGATGGACACGTTTGGCTGGATACCCGTAGCCTTAAGGATCACAAAATGGTTTGGAAGTTTGAGGGCGCGGGTTCGAACCTCGGTAGGGGATCGAACAACCGTCGCAGTATTCTTAGCCCACGTGCGACTGGTGGTGGTCGCGCAGCAGCGAAACGTCGGTACTGCGTACCGGCGTGCTGCTAATACCTTTCCTTATCGGTTGAATACAACAACTGACATGAAAAGGAGAAGACCTCAATGGCACTTATGTTGTGAGTCTCTTTGTACTTCCCTCCCATTTAGCTTCCCCTTTATGCAAAAATGCATAATTTGATATTTAATAGTATGTTACTTTCCTCGGTCTTTGTGGTCCGTAACGTTAATCGGTTCTATGTAATTCGGCACATTGGGTAAAGTGTTTCTCTCACTCTGGGCTGACGTATATTGACGATGATGACTCCTCAAACACCCAGTCGAAGGTCGACAGCCGCGCATATCATCTAAAAGAGCTGGCCACGAGTTGCTTCCATATAGCAACACCACCCGAACGGTGGCACTGTATACACAACCCTTTAGTAAGAGGAAGACATCCCGACGACGCCACAAGTGTTTCAAGTTCACAAACGACGACCTACCCTTGGCGATGCAGCGAAAATTCCTTTCTAATGGTATCACCAGCAGACACGCAGCTGCCAAAGCAGAAGAAGCAATCCACGTATTCAAGCTGTGAACCTTCAAGAGTGAGCAAAGGAAGGGGCGAATACCAATCCTAGAGCAGCGCTTTACACTTTGATGGGGCAAAGTACATTCCGCACGTAGATGCCTCAATCGCCAAACGGTCTAACATGGTTAGCACGGTCTGTGAGTCCTAACCAAGTAAGGCGATGTCACCAGCATAGTACAGTTCAGTTGTTCACTCGGTTACCGGGTATTGGTTGCAAGCCAAAATATTGATAATCTTCCAGTTATCGACAGGACGTCTTCAATCACAAAATTGAAGAGGAACGGGGACATGGAGCAGCCTTGTCGTACACCGCTATTGACAGCGAAGGACGACGAAAGCCTGTCATACATCTTCATTCTTCCGGAGACGTAAAAGTAGAATGCGCGAAGTATGGTAGTATACTTTTCCGGTACCCTGTTCCTTAGTAAGCAACACCATAGCGCAGGTCGATCAACCAAGTCGAATGCAACACGGATGTCTAGGAATGTCGATGGTAGAGTTGGCAGTGTCTGAGGGTTTGGCAGAGCGTGAGGATTTCATTCACACACCCACAGCCAGGACGGAAGCTAACTTGTCCTTCCCAGCATTGTGATTTAGGAAGCGGGAATAGTTTAGAAAGTAGGATGGATAACAATAGCCTACAGGCAACCGAAATGAGACAATTCGCCAGATGATTGGTGCATGAAGCGAGAGCACCCTTCTTAAAAATCGGGGCGACAATTGAATTGCTGCAGACAGAAAGCACCGTCTGCTCATGTCCGATTTTGGAGAACAATGAGGTAAGCTGACTGATGGTAGCTGAGCCGCCATACCAGAAGAACTCAGGAGGAAGTCCGTCCGAATCGGCATCCTTGAATCGCAAGGCAAACTACCACATCGAAGCTGGCCTCAGTTTGGAGCTTCACGACTCCCTGGTTGGGGTCCGAAAGACGAGGAACACTTTTGGCTGGATACACTTGTTGATATGGCTAGGAGCCGACCTCAGTGGCGTTCGTGTTGTGAGTTTCTTTGTCCCACCCATCCATCTTGGCCTCCCCCCCAACCACGATCTCATTATTTAGCATTTTATAATTTTGCATGGTAAATTATTCTTTTACTGTTGCATGGTAGCCGGCAGGTAGCTTACCGGAACGATGCCCATCCGTTACCAGTAGCTCAGCTGGCTTGCACCTGTTGCATTTTATTCTCTTTTTCTTTTAGGTATTGCGGCACAGTAGCTGAGATGCTTCCCACCCCTAGCTAACGTGCATAGCGTGTGTGTGTGGGTAGATCAAGTGTGACGACTCAGGGCGGGCAGCTGGGTTCGCAGGGCACGCAAGGGACGGTGAGAGCAAATTGAACTGGGCTATCGACTGTTGTCCAACGTTCCAGCAAAAGAGTGGCCACCCAGAAGTAATTGGTCGGCCAACTCCTTCAGCAGTAATGAAGGCGAAAAGGTTGCAGTCTTCTCACAAACTGTCAGGACTTGGAAAACGCTGACCATATCAGGACAACTTTGATGTGCAGTAGCTTCTTTGTATGACAATTGCGTGTAGAAAAACAAGTTATACGTAGCTCCTCAACGCAGAAATTCGGATTACAAACCAGGGCAACCTACGGGTAACCTCAGTATATCCTTGCATGAGGCTACGGCAGCAGAGCACATTCTGTGTCACTTTGCCGGGTTGCTGAGCGTGAGAGCGATGTAACGCAACAGTTTAAGAGTAATAAAGAATGCCAAAAAATAGTGATTAAGTGCAGAGAAAGAGCAGATAAACAGAAAAACCCCAATCGCAAAAAGAGACAAGCATGCGTATAAAAGGTGATTGCGAACAGCCAAATCGAGTAACATTGTACTTCGACGAGAGATGTGGAAAATGCTGTTTAGGTAAAATTGAGTGTCGTATCGCATGACGTACCCAAAGCAGTTCAGTTCAACTAATGGCGAGGTCAAACTGAGAAGTCTCCCGAAGTGACCAATGGGCTAGTGATCAAATAAGAGGGAGATCGACACATCCTTCGTGAATTATCCGACGCTATCAACAAGCGCGATGCGAAGGCAACACAGAGGGGCTGGCAAGTGTGAACGGTACAAGCGTTCAGAAGCAAATAGAGGAGGATAGAATATAAACAAACATGCAGACAGCGACTCACCGAACGAAGGAGTTATAGTAGATGAAGACGAAGACACCAACAATGAATTGGCAGTCGAAGCGATCGACCACACCACCATGTCCAGGAAATACATCACCAAAGTCTTTGATACGGAACGCTCGCTTAAATCCACTTGCAAAGAATCCACCGAAAGGACCGACAACAGAGGTGTACAAGGCAATGAGAAGGGCGTGCCACAGGAATGGGTACCAAGTGACTCGACGGAAAGGTAGCATGAACTGCACGGATAAAAGAGAAGTAAAATTTAGAGATGAGGCGTTGGCACTAGAATGCGGCGGAGCGATCGTAAAGTCTATCGTTATGCACGTCTGGAAAGTGATCAGAAGACAAAGACGTCTTTCTTAGCAAATGGTAGAAATCAATGAAAATAAAGGGGGACGATGGGTATAGCTACAAGATATTTAATGGCAGAATGATAGATGAAGGCGAACAGCTCGCTCAGATAAATTTATGCTTACCAAAAAAGTGACTTCGAAAAAGACAGAAGATCTGACTTCATACCATAAGTTGTAAGAGGATGGCAAGACAAGAACAAGGATGGAACAAGCGAACACCATTTTAGAAGCATCCTGAATCAGTAATACCAAGGGGCCAAAATTACACTAAACTAGCGACGCAAAGCGGAGAGTGGTTAAAAACAATATTGCTCATAAGACAGCGAGAGAATGGACGATAACAGCGCATGGAAGCGTAAAATCTATCCGCTTAAGAAGCATAATTAAATGCAGCATTACGCACTTTAACACCCGATTGCAGGTATTACATCTCCATGTTGTAGTAAGCAGTAGCTGAAACTCCAGAACGTGCACATGCAACGTTGCTATGGCTGGTTTGTACGGCGCCCGCATTGTTTTCCAATATCACGCCAGGACAGGTCCAAACGAACGAACCTAGGAGCGAGGCATATCGAAGCCCGAGATGATTCGTCAACTGAACTCCAAGTCAAATACGTGCGTGAAGCCACTAAGTCCCGTTAACTGGCGTTGCAAGCCATCAACACCGACCAAAGGCGCAAGTGATCTCATGGTTGATTTCGAATAGAGTGGGTGTGAATTACGACCGATGCGAGAATGGGGCATTTTCCCAGACTAACCAAAGGGTTTTACTAATTAAGTCACAGTTTTCATTGACTGGAGATCTCAGACCGAAGTCGAACTGACAGACACCTATGCTTCAAAGTGTAATGCAAACGGATGCATCGTACCGTTCGTTGGCTCTTTCTAATAATATACCAAAACGAGATGACTCAAAACAAGCCGTTGCATCGGGGGGTTGATTGTTAGCAAGTGCGGTCACTTTATTATAGCGGAGTTTGTCGCAAGTTCGGAGGGATTATCACCAACAGGAGCGAAATGAGCATGTAGTAACGAGCACAACTACACACGTGGGGTTATGCGAAAGGGCACTAAGCTTATCAGCACCAAAGTTGATCACACAAGACAAGTATATCCAGGCATTTCGATGGTGAGTATAAAAGTAAGCAAGAATTGATTTACTCGCCGAACTGGGCAAGTTGGTTGTAGACATTTCACCAACAATAGAGGTGACAAATCAGGAGAAGATATTGCTTCAGAAGCAGTTACTGATGACGAGCTGTTCATCAGTATGCACTAAAAGTGCCATCTCAATTGGTGGTAAAATGTTTGCAACAAAATTGGCCAATTCGGCTAGCAAATACACACATCAACAACGGATCCGGGCAAGATTCACCATAATCATAAGCTACAACAGCAGCAGTATACCAGCAATATGATGATGTTTCGTTGTCACCCGATCATTATGACTTAGGAATGAAGAGTAGAGGAGAAGAGTGTAAACCTAGTGAAAAACTTAAATACTCAAAAAACATACAGAATTAAAGCGCCTACACCTTGTCAATAACACAGGGAAGCGAGCGAATAGCTAGCGCGGAGATAAGACGGCATCGGTGAGACAGCTTCTTTGTGGCTTTCACTGCCCCTCATCACACATATAAATAAGCATCAAACACACCACAAAAGAGCATTGCAACTTGGAGAGGACAGCAAATGTGCCACTGGTGCGTGCTGTGAGCTACGTCTCGTAAAACGTCTAGACAAACATAAGGGTGAATCGGGTGGGCCCCACTCGGGAAGGTGACGCAGCCCAGTAGAATTCAATTCGGTTGTCAGTGGCTTCATTCCACACCGCAAAGCTAACTTCATTCCACCTCGAGGGTTGTGCAATCTGGAAAACAAAATAATGCTCTCCTCCGTAAGCGATCATACGCAGCAGATGACCAAGGCAACGCCACATATTCAACGCTATTTGTTACCCGAGGAAAGTAACCTGAACACTACCGCCTAGAACTCGTCTGCGAACATTATCGTTGCAAACACACTGGTGCCATCCGACACCAGCAATGCTCCAGAGACAACGACGACCAAAGACCTGAGGGAACCTCAGCTTATCAGACGGAAGGAGTCAATTCTCGCTCTTATGAGACTAAAACGGCCCTCACAGTGACCGTGTAAACAGGAGTTCTAGACTAAGATAAGTGCTTTTCTGGCGCTGCCAAAGTAATAGATCCGAGGCTTAAGATTTCGCAATACGTGGGGCAACTCCAATGTGACTGGAGAGTTTCTAGTAAGCCGGATGTCAATGTGTCGTCGTCCGAAACGGAGGAGCTAGAACTAAAATATTCATGCAGTGAGGGAGAATTGACGAAGTCGGCACGGTCTAATTGTAGGCATCGAGATGCACATTTAATCATGCATAGGGAGTGATAAGATTTATTAACCTACAACAGCTACTTGCTTTAAAATCTTGTTGAAAACAGAGATGACAACATGCCAATGAGGACAGGGGCGAATGGGAAACGGGTGAAACCCGACCGATTATCTGTCGGGGTAGAACAATAAGCGGAAGAACCGAAAGCTGATATATCAGAGATAGCCACTTCTTAGACCGCTTGTGGGTTAGAAGAATGCGACCATCCCAATTATGAATGTTCTAATGGCGAATATCGCTTGCAGTGTCCATCGAGTGTTATCCGAAGTATCAAAGCTGATTTTCATTCTGTACTTTGTTTTCGTTTTGATATGTAGACGTTTGACAGCGAAGTGGCAGCGTGAAAAGCTGACAATGCCAATAAAGTGTGTGAGTCCCACAGCGTAAACGGTCCACGGTGAGGGCAACAAAGACAAACCTGAGACAAAAAGAGCACGTGACAGTGATTACTCATCGGTAGTGGCCAATACTGTATCAAACTAACAGCCAGTATAGGAGTAACCGTAGCAATGAGGTTTGTGTGCCTCAACAATCCATTCAGCTATGCTGGATGGTGCTTTTTGCATCTTCAAAGCCACTCATAAAAAACTGGTCGGTGGGTAGAGGCTAGACAAATTTAGCCTCTTGGCCAGCCAAGATGAGGGTTGGAGTGAGGGTGGCTCCATACTCTGTAAAACGGACACTTCGTAGCCCAGTGCTAAAACCCCGCTGTCTTGCGGTCGGGTTTTTGAACCAAAGACTTTGGTTGAGAACCCTAATCGTTTTCCTGTTTAGGTCTGGGAAACCTGACAGTATCTGGCTCACGCAATACATTGACCTTTTCTTTCGAACAGTTTCTTGATCTTCTGGCTGTTGCACAGGATGATCAACGGCGCCCTATCTGTTGGACCGGGAAGGGTCAGTAAGGCTAAGGATGCTACTGCTCAGTCCTTCCCGTTTGCTTATTCCCCCTTCTTACATTTTTATCGTTCCACCCCAAATTTACTTTTCTCCCCCATTTTCAAACCACAATACTTGGCCCTCCCCAACCTTACTTTGACAGACGTTTATCTCATAGTATAGTTTCAACTCACACGCAGCTTCACCCCTACCGTGTCGACAAGCCCATATCTAACCAAGCGGACAAGCACAGTTCGTGGGCTTCTATTTGGAGCCCTCAACCTTTCCTCAGATTGGCATGTCCCCACTTTCGTACACTGCTACAGATCGGTTAACAGGCAGCATTTGTCCGAAGATTAGAGACCCTATCAATCGATATATGCTGCTTATCGGAAACCCAGTTACAAGACCCGAGCTCTGCTCTCATTCTGCGATCCTCTTTAGGTGACAATAACAGTGCTTCTTTATTGCGACTATCAGAAGACGACGCAACTTCGAGTGCCCTGAGTTCCCGGACTGAAGCTGCTCTGGTTACTTGGATCCCAGTCAGTAGCCGGGTGTCGTCCGACTGGCTGAATCAGGACTAACAGGTGTCTATTTGTCATCGCTGCCTACGCGCCCACAAACTAGTGATTCGGTAAAAGACGATCTCTATCGCCAACTGAACGGGCTCTTTCGTTACAGAAAAAGCATGCATATTGTAATGTTGACTGGGCATCTGAACGCTCAAGTCAAAAAGCAGTGTATGGGTGACCAACACGATGTAGACCCCCCGTAATGAAACTGGTGAGCGGTTACTTTACGAGTATGAAGATGCACGGTTATTTCATGCGATCACTAACTTCCGACACAGTATCCGCCGGAGGGTGACATAGCGCCCACCAGCCATGGAGACAAAGTGATCACATCACGAGCAATTACTGCTAGAGGCTGTGTCGAAAACTCGATCGATTTGGAGCACAAGTGTCGACAGTGATCATGCATTTGTATGTGCTAATATGCGGGTACGTTTTGGCGGACGCCCACGAGGACCGCAGCAGCGTAGACACCAGCCAACTGACGAAGTTAGATGTTCTGAATGTGTATAGAAGTAGGCTAGTATTCGGGTTGAGTGAGCGCTCACGGAATACGGTTGAAGATCAATTGTCGCGTGTTCATCAAACCTTACTAGAAAAAAGTAAATACTCACGTAGCAAATCCAATAGTCAAAACAAGTATTGGGTCTTTAAGCAGTCTCTGTAACTTACTATGCTAGTAGGCACACTCCAGACAAAAAACCTAACGACAATCGCAAAGACCATATCAGAAAAGATCGTGTTAGCATAAAGAAAGACCGGAGACCTTGGTGGTCTTATTGTGCGTCAGAGATGGAAGTGGCCACTACCCTTGGTAACCATCGGAAGTTAGTCCATACAAGATTTTCCCCTCACAAATTTCAAAACAACTAGAACATTTCGACAGGATAATCTGGATTCAGTTACCTCGCGTTTTTTCGTCAACCGTATACATACAATTAGTGGAAAAGCCAGGTTGCAAACAGAGACATTCAAGATGCTACGTCATTGGCGGATTGGAAACGGTCAAAGTTAAT